ATTGCTCCTAAACAAATTTTCAAGGTAGTAGACCAGGAAGGCACCTGTTCCTCAATAATAGATTTGTTTTTGGGACCTCTATTGTGAAAAGTTTTTTTCCACTGGAAAAATGCACATGGAATCTCCCTTTACTTAGCTCCTGAGGCCAATGATTATGATTCATTAGCTGATATAGCTTTCTCTAGGTTTCTTCAAAACTGACAGCTGACCAAAACCACCAATTCCCCAATTAAACCCTTTATAAAACATTGCTCCTAAACAAATTTTCAAGGTGGTAGACCAGGAAGGCACCTGATCCTCAATAATAAATTTGTTTTTGGGTCCTCAATTGTGAAAAGTTTTTTCCACTGGAAAAATTGCTCATGGAATCTTCCTTTACTTAGGAAGCCATGGAAGCTGAGGAAGCTGAAAGCTTGGGGCTTCTCTTGAGCTGAAGATCTGAGGCTGCAAAGCAAAAGGATAATGAATACTACAATCAATTACAAAAGATCCCTCACCAGGAATCCAGATTTGTTTTGGTGGTAATTTATTATAGATTATAGAGGGACTCCTATTTGTTTGAGGGGGGGGGGACCCCCCTTTACTAATCAGGATCCAACATTAGTAGCGTCCTTGCTCCTAGTAGCGATGCCCTTTGCTCCTAGTCGCGTCCTTGCTCCTGGAAGATTTGTTATGATTTGTTATTTCTTTGTAAACATGTTTCCCCCTTCGGTCAATATATCTCAAAACAACTATCAAAGCACATGCCGTACTGAGTACAGTGTACAACTCGTACTTACTTTTGCATGTGGACCTGGGAACAAGAAACTACAACTGATGAGAAGCAGCTGAGAAGCACCATGATACGTTTTGAGACGCCAACGGTAGCCGAGCACTCTAATTTCAGCCACAAATCTCGCCATATGGTTGATGAACAAAATCCTGTACCACCAGTGCGCCCGCACTCGACAAGGATCATTTAGCAACCCCACGCCCCCTCATTCAATGTTAGTGCGAAGCCTCTGAGGTGGCGAAGTATCTTTCCACTGTGGCGCTCCCAATGTGAAGTAAAGGGCGCAAGAAAATTGGGCACGCAGTCTAGGATTTCGCTAATCAATTGGGCACACATGCATCTAACTGCGCTCATCGGAGTATCCGGCCGGCCGACTAACCGAGACGAGTCGGTTCAACCGGATGTGTCCGGTTGTCCCGGTTGCCCGGTTGGTCGGTTGGCCGGTTGAACCGGGCAACCGGGAAACCTCCGGTTCAGCCGGCGGTTTCTCGGTTGGCCGGGTCAACCGGCGGTTTCCCGGTTGGCCGGTTCAACCGGCGGTTGATCCGGTTGGCCGGTTGAACCGGCGGTTTCCCGGTTGGCCGGCTCATCCGGCGGTTTCCCGGTTGGCCGGCTCAACCGGCGGTTCAACCGGGCAACCGGGAGACTGCCTGTTGAACCGGCCAACCGGAAACCTGCCGGTTGAACCGATCAACCATGCATGTCAACCGCCGGTTTAACCGGCCAACCGGGAAACTGCCGGTTGAATCGGCCAACCGAGAATCACCAAATCAAAGTGGGCGGTCTTACCGGCGAGGCTTTTGGGCAAGTCTGGCGAGTCTTATTTTGCATTTTTGAAATTGTTTTGATCTTTTTGAATCATGTTTTAAGCGTAAAATTGTCACAAATAAGATCTAAAATGATTAGCAATTACTCAAAAAGAGTAAACATGACTCAAAAGTGATTAGACCTGATTTTGAACAAAATTCACCAAGGGGTAAAAGTATGAGTGAACCAAAAGTGTTTTCACGGGTACATCCACGAGTGAAGCCACGAGTGAAGTTGCGGTGAACTTGCAGACAAAATGAAAGTTCAACATAGCCTTATACGATAAGTTGACGAGCCGAGCAACAAGTCAACCTACAAAAAACAATGAAAAATGTACTAAGTACACACGGTTCCTTAACCATAAATCACTCCTGGCCTCGTTGAACGTTCTTGAACTAACTTGCTTAGAAAGTTTTGAATTTAGGCTGAAGAGCACTGTGCTGGCAGGGGTTGTGACAAAGTAAGGTTTTTGCAACTAGTCTAGTCATTGAACAGTATTTATTTGTTGAAAGTAGTCAAGCTTTGACTGTGCTGGCAAGCATTGAATAATAGTTATTGAATCTAGTCAAATTCTAGACAGTTTTTGGCTGAAGAGCACTGTGCTGGCAGGGATTCCAACCCTTGCAAACAACATCAAACTCAGTCAAACATGCAGTAGGGCACACTTTTTAGTCTAGGTTAAAATTGACAATACGTGACAAGACATTCAGCTCAATCAGCATCAACCTCATCAAACAAGTCATGGTCATCCATTTTTGATCTTCATGATGATTCACCTGGCTGGCGCGAACGAGGTGCACTATTCAGTTTACTGTGCTGCGCGTCTGAGTCCCATGACATGGAATCATAGCAAACACGACTGAAACTATCAAGGACTATCACAGGTCGCAAACAACCTTTTTTTGTGCCAACTTGCCCAACAACTGTGAACAACCTGAATCAGAATCAATTCAGCAAAGCAGACATGGAACTTGTGCCCAGTCTCCATCACAAAACATGTCTGCTAATTTGACACCCAAATGAAGAGTTCGGCACAGTGCCCTTCAGCTTCGACTCTGATTAGTAACTGCTTCACTGACTTCAAAGAACACCCGAAAGGCTTCTCTATCAATCTTTTCAAGCTCACGCAATTGAGAGAACAGGCGTCTGGGCCGGACTCTTTCAATGCCAGGTTTTGACTCAGTGCCCCAATGTGATGACGACATATCGGAATCATCGGAATTCCAAGAAATGCAGCTTTTAGAGTCAGAGTCATCATCATCATCAGACAACTGCACTTTGCCAACAGCACTCGGTTCATCAAATAAACCTCATTGTAAACGATGTTGGTGGAACAGGAATTGAATAAGTGAATCACCACCATGATGATTGCAAAAGCCACACTAAATGTCACCATCATGATTGCCATGACTTCCATCATAAACAGGAACAAGTTTGAGTGCTCAACTTGGCTGCTAAGATCAAATTACCATCGCAACGTACACCTTGCAAAAATAAAAATCAAATGCGAATCAGTGCAGCAGCTCAACACATACTAAGGACAAGTTTGAACGCTCAACTTGACTGTTAAGATCACAATACCATCAAAACATGTGCCTTGCAAAATGATAAACCAAATGCGCATCTTTAAGCACAGTGCAGCAGCTCAGCACATACCTTTTTTCACTTACAGCCACATTTCTTGTGTTTGCAGATCCAATCCAACGCGCCCTTCTCATCAACCCTTGAGGATGATCCCTTGTACGGCGCGCGTGTTGCCCAGTCACCTGAACTCATCATGAAACCATATTCATAAGACAATCAATGAAAAAGATAAACATGTCAGTACCTCAAAGACAACTTGCTTGTGAAACCAAGGCACCTCCAACCTCGTGGGCATGGACCCTGTAATAGCAAGTTGCTTTGTCTTGGGAACCAGGGCTTGGATCCTTTTTGTACTGACCAACAACTTTGCCACATTTATCACATTTCACTGTCTCCCATTGGGTGACTCCTTTCTTTGGTTGAATTGGCCCATGGTGGCTGGGGGCCACTGTTGTTGCTTCAGAACCTTCAGTCTGAGTCTTTCGCCTTGCTTCCTTCAGCTCGGGAGCCTCACTGATGAGCTTTGGACCGGGTCTTTGAGTTGATGATGACGAAGCACGCCAATCAGGCTCTTCAAGATCAAGTCTTTGAAGTTCACGCAAAGAAGTATCATCATCAATATGACCGATCAACTTCGTTTCAGTCAACTTCTGCTTTTTGGCCGGCGGCCCTTGACCCAGCAGCTGGTTGGGGTCAGGCACTGCCCTCTGACTCTGAGGGCACAGTGCCCTCCAGCAAAGGCTGATCAGCAGCAGGCACAGTGCCCTCCAGCAAAGTTCCCTCCAGTAAAGGCTGATCAGCAGCAGGCTCAGTGCCCTCCAGCAAAGGCTGATCAGCAGACAATTGCGATGGCAGATCAGCAGGCACTGTGCTAGCATGCGACGTCTCAGCAGCAGGTGCTTCCACTGCAGCGACAATTTGCAAGTCACAATCAATTGCAAGTCGTTTGGCTCGTTTGCAAATCTCTGTGCCACTGAGCTTCTTGTTTTTCTGTTCTTCTTTCTTTGACAAGGGCGCAGGCTTTCCCTTCTTGGAGCCTTTCTGATTCTTGTCTGACTTTGTCGCCGGCTTTCTTTTCTTGACTTCATGCTTAGCCCGAGCTTCTACTATCTGATCATGAAGCATGGTGTTTGTTTCCTTGATTCTGCGCTTGGCAGCTTCTCTCACCTGATTAAACTCTTTTCTTCTTCATCAATATATTCCATGACATCTTGGTCAACATCATTTCCCAGGTCAGACTTGAATAAGTCTTTCTTGAGCTGATCTGCTTCGTTCTGCTTCCGTGACCAAACCTGGTGGACCAGGTCCACAAAGATTGGATCTTGTAGGCCAACTTGCTCATGATCTCCTTGATTGTGTCTCTCTTTCAAGCCAGTTACCCCATGCACAGCCAGCTGCTCCAACAACTTCTTCTGCCATGATCCACTATACCTGACAATCAAAAAAGAGCAAGTTATACATGCCAGGATA